ACAATGTTATAACAAGATCCGAACAGAATCGACCCGATTATCATATCAGGCATACTGAGTTTCGCTTATTTGTAGAAAATAACATCATGCTTGACTTTTGATGGCGTTGAATTCAAGTATATCTTCATTGCCAGCGCTGACCTAATAAGAGAACGCAGTATGAATAGTATAAGTAGTAAGATCATCTGCAAAGCTCTATAGCAGGTGGAGGAATTCATTATCGATACTGACATTTTTTTATTCAATTGTTTTTTCAAACGATACACAATTATTTCCAGATTATTGCAAATGAGTTTTCTGTTCATTATATTTTATTACCTCAGTGAATGAAACCGCCCACAACCTCTGAAGCATATTCCTACTAGTCAACTATAGATAGGTATATGTATATATACTATGAATTCCGAATTCCATTCCAAACAAGAATTGAGAAATACTGGTTCGCATGTGACTTATCTGATTTCCTGAGTTCCAGTGATCAAATTGAATGGAACTCATTAAGAAATGCCTACTCAATCTTGTTTATACCTAAATAATTCTGAATATACTTAACGGTGAAAAGAAGACTCTTCAGAATTTAATTTTTCTTTAGTAAATAAATCAGTGATTTACCTGAACAAACGAGTTTAGGAATCTGTAGTTTTTATAATATATGAGCTTCAAGATCAAAATTTCATGAAAAATGTATAGGTGATAATGAGATTAGCAATTAGTATACAATTTCAAGGTCAACAGCTAACAAGTAATGAAAAATGGGACCTCATGATGTCCAAAATTATATTCAGTTGACAATTGGGGCAGCTCTGTTCATCCAAAATTTCTCAGCTATGAGATGTACTTCAATGAATTGGACTGGTGGATCAGTCCAATCAATTATAGTGACGTATAGTGCCATCTGTCAGCAGAGTGGTATACTTGTAGTATCACCTTGTTGTAGACATATGGATCTGCACTTGTTCACTATAGATGGCAGAGTGATATAGTGTATGCCGCGATCGCATGATCCTACCTTAGAACTAAGCCACTAGATGGCGATACCATGACTAGATCTTTATGTATTATCTGGCGTCTTCGGAATTGGAGATATATCCGAAGCGTTGAGGTGTCCCAGTTGTCAGCAGATCGAGTGTCGTTGATGAGGTCTGGTAGGCCGGAACAGTAGAGTGTGTCCATGCCACTTCTTTGTGAAACTCAAGATGGCCTGATTAGATTTTGCATAACTGTTTCCGTTCATGAGATACAGGGCGATTTTGGAAATGTATAATTTTTGGATCCCTCCATATCTACGAAGTTTCTCAGCTAAAATCTAATCCCATATCGAATTTTACGCAGAATCCAGTGGCGCACTCAATATTATTTCCGGGGTATGGTTTCAGAGATACGACTCAAACTTATGATTTCATAAATGGAACACCCTGTGATTCATAAGCTCATTGAATGCCTCCATTTTCCTCCAAAATGATATATCGATGTTTGAATATGACATTTTCTAAAATGCTCCAATGTCACTGAACATTTTAATTTCAATAGTGGGCAATGGATTTTTCATACCTATAAAAGAATTTAATTTTCCATGGAGAGGACAGAAAATAATGCCAACACTAATTAACTAACAAAACACGAAACTGAGGTACCTGATAGCAACAATTGAATAGTAATGAGAAGTTCATTATGTAGAATAAAACACTTGATACAGTATTTACTAAAACAATCAAATTTCGAGATGATTCAGTAACTTATGCATTGAATAATTCAAATTGATGTCCAATCTTCCTCACATATATACTTTCTCAATACGTCTTGATGTATTCAAATCATCAAAAGATGTCTTTGTTATTCCTGGAAAACTAAAAAGTTCTTCAAGATTGTTGTTCGTCTTACTCTATTAAGACGTATTGAGAAAGTGTACATGTCAATTGTGTAGGAAAAATAGACAACAATCTGAACAATTCGTAAATAAGTTACTGAATAAGTTCGAAATTGAATTGTTTTAGTAAATATTCAATAAGGTGCTTATATTCAATACATTATGAACTTCTTATTATTATTCTTTTCTTGCTATCAGGTACCTGAATTTTGTGTTTTGTTAGTTAATTAGTGTTGATATTGTCTCTGTCCTCATCATGATGGCAAAATCAAAGGAAATATTCCTTCAATTTAACCATTTTTCAAAGGAAAAACCCATAGCCCACTATTAAATCGAATATTTCAGTGATTTTGGGGCATTTTTGAGAATTGTTCAAATTGAATACCATTCTGAAGGCACCAAAAATAATGAATTTAATGAGCTCATGAAACACATGGTGTTTCATTTTAGAAATCATGAGTTTGAGTGGTATCTCCAGAATCATACCCCGAAAAACAATTTGAGTGCGCCACTGGATTCTGCGTAAAATTCTCTATGGGATAATATTCCAATTTTACATGTTCACTGAGAAACCTCGTAGATATAGAGGGGGTTCAAGAATTATAAATTTTCAAGATCGCCCTGTAACCCATAAACGGAATCAGTTATACAAGATCTGAAGAAGTTATCCTGAGTTTCACAAAAAAGTGACAGTGGACCACGAAAACCGCAAGGTTCTATCTCCGAAAATAACTGAGTCATGAGAAAAATCTGTGGATTTGAAATATTTATCTAGCGAAAGACATCTCTCATTTGAATGTCAAGTTCTTCTCCGATTTGTTTCAGTAAACGAGCAAATAGTTGCTCAATGAGTCATCTGACAGCGAATCATTCTAATTACCCCGACTATAGAAATATCTAGACCATGTGAAAGCCTTGGACGAAACAATAGTGAGACGATGCAACCTAATAGGTATCCGACTATTGTCTTGGGCTTAATGGAGCTGCACAACATATTTAACAAATTGACAACGATCATGCAGTAATTTGCCGTAGCAATTGTAACGGAAACCGCGTTTTTTTGGCAGATTACGCAACGTTGGAACGGTGAGTGAGCCTGAAATTGTTAAGCCTCATTTCACTTTCTGAAGGAATTCGTTATTCGATGGTGGTCACGTGAGTCTAGTCTAGGATTGATTCACAAACAAATCATTTGTTTACGAAATAAGTGCAGAGTAGGACTATAGTTGCATTATGACAGTAAGCACTGTCAAGTTTTTCACATACATAGTCAATCTTGATACATCAGATGATCATATAACTTACCTTAGCCGTAGCACTTGATATCTTCAAGGCATTCGATCGAGTCTGGCACCACGGACTCCTCGCCAAGCTTCCATCTTATGGCTTGCCTCCCCAGCTATGTTCTCGGCTAGCTAGTTTTCTCTCAAACAGGTCTCCCCATGTAGTGGTCGACGGAGTTTCATCTGATTCTCTTATCATAAATGCTGGTGTTCCGCAAGGATCAATTCTAGCACCAACACTATTCCTACTCCATATCAACGATTTGTTGGAAGCAACTTCATGTCCAGTACACAGCTTCGCGGATGATAGTTCCTTGCATGCCGCCTCCTCTTCCAAGGCTCCAATACCAGCCAGGCAAATCAGAAACGAACGAGGAAAAAATATTGACAACATAAATATGGACTTGGCAACAATTTTCGAATGTGGATCGAATAACTTGGTATATTTCAATGCAAACAAAACACAAGCATGCCTTTCCTCTAGAAAAGCCGATCTCACTGTGCCCAACATGAGCTTGTCAGGAGTAACCATACCTTTGAAGACATCCATTTCGATGCTTGATATTACTATCAACAATAACCTTTCTTGGGAAAATCACGTGAGATCAATTGCTAAAAGTGCATCCCAAAAACGTTGTTCTCTGTTTCGGGCCAGGATCTATTTCACTTCCAGTCAGCTGCTTATGATCTATAAGGCATAGATCTGAACTGTCCTGGAATACTGTTCCCATATACGGAGTGCAGCACCCAAACATACCCTGAAACTGTTGGATTCTGTCCAAAAAAAGGCAATTCGTCTCGTGGGTGATGCCTCGCTCACAAACTCACTTACTTCTCTGGAACACCGTCGAATAGTTCGCGATCTAGCTCTATTTTAGAGATATTTTCATGGACCAAGCTTTTCTGAAATATCAAAAATTGTTCCTCCCTTGGTAGTCCCTGCGAAATTAACCCGTCGAGTTGAGGCTTCGCACCCCTTCGTGGTCACTTTGGAGACCTGCAGAACATCTCTTTTCGAAGACTCGTTCATACAACGAACAGCGAGGCTCTGGAACACATTGCCAAGGGAAGGGTTTCCCGAGGCATATAACCTCCATGAAATTTAAGAAGAACACCAATTCCAACCTTAATTCTCTTGGCTCTCACGATGTTCTCTGAACATTACAGGATATCCCTTTTCGTGAGAACCAGAAGATGGAAAAAAATGTATACGAAAATAATATATAAAATTAAAGGAACTTGAAGTTATGATCAAATAATTAGCATCGAGTATTCACACTAGTGTATATAAAATCAAGGTAATTAGTGAAGTTGATACGCAAGTTCAAACTTGATTCCTAAAGTCAATCAATGTTCACCTGTTACCAATAAGTAGAGACTAACTAAAGTCGCTCATGGATTTTTAGGAAGCTGTTGGACTCTAACCAATAGTATGTAGAATATAGACTATAAATTCTGGGCTTTATTTAGCACTTTCAATCCCGATGTAAAAGCTTTTACAATTTTCTGAGGGATTAATTATAATATTATTTCATGAATTACATCAAGAGCGGGAAAAATAGAAATGAGATAATCAATAAAATAATGGAAGACAGTACTCTCATACTCGTAGAGGTATTACGTCAAAATGTTAACTTTGCTGACTATAATAGGTGGTTATCATATTGTTGTTGATATCGAAAAGTATGATGTATACCTTGAAAGCGTTAGTGAAAAATTTCAGTATGTACTTTCAATCTATGTGGAATCAAGAGTGTCTCATTACTCCCTCATCATTCTGAAGTGCGTTAAATATCATTCAATATATTCAAGTCTCAATTATCTTTCAATCCTGTTGTTTTTTTTTTCAGATGAATCAGAAGTGCAGAGTTTGTGGTGAACCAGCAGCAGGATTTCATTTTGGCGCATTCACATGTGAAGGCTGCAAGGTAATTACATTAAAATGATTGTGATACATTGACAATTATGATACTATACAGAGAAGTGCATAAAAAGTGCTGTATTTTCTGAATCATTCGAGATCGGATTTCGAAAATTGGAGGGTAGCAAGTACACGGTGAGGAAACCTATTGAGTGAAGCTTTTTGTGAAAATATGAATGCAGAATCAGTTTCATCCAGAACTCAAATTTTGATGAATGTTAGTCAAAATTGTCTACATGTTTTCTCGAGCATTTTTCATACTTCTGAGACATTTGTGTCAGTATAATTCAGAGGGTAGCAATAAAATGAATACACAATTCAGGGTGAACCTGGATTGACACAAAGTTATGTGGACCTGAAGTTTGAATCAACTTCAAAATATTTACCGTTTATAGGAAATCGCTCATTCATTGACAAAACAATATTTGTTCTTTCACGTCCGGTTTTACCAGAAACGAACGCAACTTTTAATTTTCTTTCATAATCGATCAGTGAATATCATGATGAATTCAACAATACCGGGTTTGATAGGGTTTCTCTGTCACACCCATGGAGCATATGAATACCTCTGAAATCGTTTGAAATAAGTCTGCGAGTCCAAAAAAAAAGGTTTTGGACGTGTTGCGTACATATTTTTCTGGCAACCATGTAGAATAAAAGATCAATGAGATACATTTCCATATAATATTTCTTTGTAGAACACAATTTCCTCATTTGTATCAGATACTGAAATTTGAAGAGAACCTATACCTACTAACTGTTACATTGGAAATTTCATATGGACATTTTCAAACTCACTATCGCAGCTGCTTTCGATAGTTTATTGCGATCATTGCGACCAAACTTTCAAAAATCAAAATGTCAACTAATTTCATGTCGAATAGCTGTCAGCCGATATTTCGCTGCTATATAAATTATCATCTGCATTTATCAAAATCATATCTACAAAGATTTTCATAGTTACAGTGACAACAACGATGTGATACTTCCCGGCCTATAGGCCAAAAAATTTCTACTTTCTCAAGAAACAAGCGCCGAAAAAAGAAAATGAAAGACTCGTGAGATTACATATGAAAATTACTCACCTGTAGAGTTTCCACGTAATTTTTTGAGAATTGTATACATTTTTCAAACATTCAATCAGGAAACGTTTGTCAGTATTTGGCATTGTGAATAGAACGTACAAGCATACCTACATACATAATTATTCCAAATAATGAGATAATCTCAAAGTCAATTACTTCACTACTATTTTTACCATCGTCTTCATCATACGACTCGATTCCCATGAGATAATGAAGGATATTCAGGTATATCCAGAACAAAACCTCCGTTGTCGATATAATACGAGGTTAATCACTAATCAGCCACAAAGAATTTGTTGTGAATTATCGTACTAGAGAAAAACGCGGCATACGTGAATCAATTCGATACGGACGTCAAATCGAACGCCTCAAAATCATCTAAGAGTTCTATTATGAATTATGATAAATAGCATCGTAGTTCCTGATCCGAATTCGATGCGAACGTTGAATGATTTATTAGATTCTAAACTGCTCAACACATGAAACGTTAAATCGCATTTTTTCTATCAAATTTAAATCATTATAACTTTCGATTTTTCAACCGATTTTCAATTATTTTTCAGTTTCTGAAAGCTCGTTTCATTGACCATCAAACCTATGGGTATGACTATTCCATCTTTCCCGGATCAGATTCTACAAAGCTGTGCCTCCCGTTTGAAAAAAAAATGTTTCTATTTTTTTTTTGGGTCAAAACATATTGCTTCATATGTTTTCTCGATACTGTGAGAAAATATTTGGAATTGTCACACGCGTTACTGAAATATGAATGTTTTTTTAAGATAATGCATAATTGAATGCTCTATTTTATATTGGCTCTGTGCTCCCGTTAATCTGGTTCAAACGGTGGTCAAAATCTTGAAATGATGCATGATCAACCCATTCTTATATACAGGGTGGTCCTCAAACAACAATCATGACATCAATAAGTATTAAAAAAAATCTTGTTTTGACGAGCAAGAAAATTCTTGTCTCAGGATACTCTTCATTACATATCCATGTGACTCACGTCTGCCATTCTTCTGAATTTCGACAAATGAGTCCTTTGTGGCGTTCACCGCAAATGAAATGAATACTCATTAATCTACTGTAATTGTGATGAATTCTGTCAGTTGCATGGAATGTCTCGCCAGCAACTTTTTCTATTCAGACGACATCCTGTACATTTCTTCAGTCTATCTCATTTGCCTTGAGATTATCTTCTAAAACTCCATCACAAAGTGAGGACGACGCTCTGAAAATTCGTTTTTTTTTTTTTCATTACTTGATGTCATAAGTGTTGTTTGAGGACCACCCTATACATAAAAATAGGTTGATCATGCATCATTTCAAGATTTTTGACCACCCTTCGAACCAGATTGAACAGGAACACAAAGCCAATAGAAATTAGTGCATCAAATTATGCATTATCTCGATAAAATATTCACATTTCAGTAACGCGTGTGAAAATTCCAAAAAAATGTTTGAACAGTATCGAGAAAACATATGAAGCAATATGTTTTCGACCCAAAAAAAAATAGAAAGATTTTTCTTTCAAGCGTTTAAACTTCTTGAAAAAATGCACAGCTTTGATTATCATCCTGTAGAATCTGATCCGGAGAAGATGAAATAGTCAGTCATATCCATAGGTTCGATAGTCAATGAAACAAGCTTTCAGAAACTGAAAAACAATTGAAAATTTTCAAATTTGATCTAAAAAATGCGATTTTATATACGTGTCATGCGTTGAGCAGTTTATATGATCGGAGAATGAGTCAGCATTGATTTTTTTTGAAGATTTATTGATCCAATTTTACCAACATAAATCATTGAAAATGTATAGGTGGAATATCACGCCCTGATAATCTGCACGATTTTGGTTCTTTCTTATTGAATATACCGGGTCTCAACGAAACAATTGGACATGTCATATACAAGATGAGTCATAACTATTGGAACATAGGCTAAAGGCAGATTATTTCTACCAAAATATGGCGATAGTACCAAATATGCCTCGATAAAATATTGCTGTGGAGGAAAAAAAAAGGGGGTTGAAGTTGATTTTTTTTTCGTTCATAGGTAATAATTGCACTGCACCTTTATTTATCAATTGTTGTCCAAATCTGTGTACTAAGGCATGACTCCATACAGGTAATATTATTTTTTCTACTCACATAACTAAAATGGCATTTAGCGTACGGATATGTACCACGCTAAATGATCGAATAATCACGGATTGTCGATCTGTGATTTATTCAAAATATTAAACACGTTACCATGGCAATACGATTTCTTAAACACATTACCATGGCAACGCAGTTCATTGAACACAGCTTCAGTAATTTGAGACATGTCTGGCCTGTCAAGTGTATTAACTCTCAACTGTTATTTTCGAATTTTGTATCAGAATTATTCAAACAATATTCGTTTGTATCAGAATACTTCATTGAAAATATATGCGAAATGTAGACGAAAGTGAAATCGAAGAGAATGTTCTGGTACTAGCATATCTTCAAGAAGTGTAAAAATGAAGCATCCATCTTTGAGAACAATTTATTTATTCTGCGCTGAGCATGATGATAAACGTGAAACAAAGGTTAGTAAGCAATGGACTGGTCTCATCTACAACCAATATCACTTATACGTGTCTCGCTGGTTGCTTGCAGTTGCATGTATTATGTTCTCAATTCCCATTCCTTTCGAATTATTTTGTAGGTTAGCAGGAATTGCAGGTATGTTAATGTAATTTTCGGAATTCGTAGAGAAATCATAGTATGTAACGCGTTTATGAACTCTTCTAGACACTCGTTTATTAAACACTCTCTCCGCTCTGCTCTGCTCGTGCTTAAACTACCCGTTACTAAAAGGACGTTTGTAACACTTGTTACAAAATATACCATTATGTATTATTCTATAGTTTGTTACAGGGGGCGCCACACTTTTTGTGACGATATTTTTCAATGATTTTGTTCAGGAAATATGGCATTAACAGCATTCCAACGTAATATTGGTACACTTGTTTGAACACGATATTCTCATCCGTTTTGCAGGAAATCGCAATCGAACACAGTTGAAAGTCTTGGAAGGGGAGGGAATAATATTCAATTTATAAAGAGTGTAGTTCGAATTGTCAGATAATTGTTACTGGTAAATTACCTTTCTTGTCAGTGATTAAATTTTGGTGCAAGTTTATAGGCGATACTTTTTCAGATTGGAACATCCTGTATCTGGTCCCAATAGTTATGACTCACCCTGTAAAACTTCTAGAATATTAGGCGTACGGAAATGAGATTTGGTATTGTGAAATGGTATGTGAAAAAGAGAGTTCTCACACATTTTCCACATTCTGGGTAGTTCCGGATTCACCATAAATGGCTTCGTTTTCAAAATCAGTAATTTTCGAAAGCATTTTATGCCTTCCTATTTCTTTCCCTTTGAGTCACTTCTGATTCATGATATTGGTAATCATAATGGAAGAAATCGACAAAGCAATACTATGTTCCATAATTTCGATGATCTTATAAGGAAATCTGATTGTGAAGATTTTTAAATTCACTGTGGATTGCCATCAAGTTACGAACAAGTCGCTTCAATTTTTCTCTGTTAAAGAATTCCTAATGGAAAAGCTTATCAGTAAATTCTTTCACTATCACTACCTATATCAAGAATCAGTCGGGAGAAATTCATGGAAATATGCATGCCCATATTTTAGAATACGCTCTCTTCATTCAAAATATTTTCAGCAATGCAGTGTTGCCGCTTCTATCAAAATATTGCAACATCTTTGTTTTATCGAATAGCCTGTATTTTATTGCAGTTTCAGATTCTTCCTGAAGAGCTGATTCCATCGATACATCATCGAAAATGATTACAGAGATATAGGGTGTTCCAAATCGAGATTTTTCAAATTTAGGATTTGTTTGTGTCGAAATTATTCATTCAAAAC